TAGTGTAATTACTTAGTCAGGGGTCCTTCACTGGAGCGGGGTGCTTAATTTGCGAAAACGGTACGTGTGTATCTATGTATTTAATACTGCGCGAAACATATAGTCTGGATTGGAAGATATTTAAATGAACAATAATTTTTATTTTTTACATTTATATATATTTTTTAGTTTATATATAAGAATAAGTTGGTAGGTAGAAGTAACAAGTTTTTGTGGATATCAGGCAAGCAAGTATTCAAAGATAGACGCCTACACAATTAAAAATAAGCCTCATCAAATGTATATAACAATAGTATATGTCGACCTTTGTTTTTAAGGATTACAACGTGGACTGATAGTGATGTTACTGATTTACTGTTTCTGGTCATGGGATCAATAAGTTACTCGAACTTGGCCTCCCACAAGGTCCAACAACAAGCCTTAAGAAAGTAAATGACAATAGTTTGTGTCTGTCTTTGTGTAAAAAGCATAAACACTAGTACTTGTCATGACGGTATATGCTTTGTCGCGTATTTCCTGGATGTGGGGGCAATCGATTTTTGTACATTTTGGACACATTTTGTAAATGATCGAAAATGGACAACCAGTACTACCCTGTGTATATTTCAGTGGTGTGTCCGTGTATTGATTATTCAGTACACTTACAATGGTACGTGTGGGGTAAACAAATGTTATGCAAAATGTGATGGGGTGGGTCAGGTAAATATGAAACAGTTTTAAATGGTGTTGGCAAGATTTGCTCACAGATCTGAAACATGACCGCCTTGGCAGCCAAATTACCATGAAATTGGGTGCTGAGTGTTAGACCGACTGCTACTTGAAGATATTTAGAATGTATTCTTTCAACCAGATTTGTTTTTTAAAATCCCCAAATGTCCGAACCATACTTCAAAGTCGGGCAAATCGTTGTGTCAAGTGCTGATAACATTCAGTCAAGAGGCAAGTTGAAATTGTGTACTTTCTTTAATAATGTACATGTAGTTGTGAATACCGTGTTTCCGGTAAGGTATGCTCTGTTGAAATAAAGAATAGAAGAATAAATACTACATCGAAGATAACAGCATCTCTCATAAGACATCGTCAATGTACATATGGGCTGAGTACAGATGATGACTGGAGTAGTCCATTATTCTGTAGGTGGGGTTTCTTTCTTTCAGTAGTCATAATGGGAGTCGAATCAATTACCAATTGACTGTCACCAAGCACTCCTTTATGGAACCAACCGAAATGATTTTGTGTCTGGTTGGTTTTGAACTCGTCTATACTTCAAAAAGTTAACAAATTTGATTAGAATACTATTGGTATTGTCCAGAAATTGTTTCGTTTTAAATCCCAAAATGTCCGAACCATACACTTCCATACAGGAAATCCCTATGTCAAATGCTGTTAACAGTCAAGATGCAAGTTAATATTTTTTACTTTATTTAATTGTTTTAAATAACCTCACATGTTTTCCGGTAACGTATTCACTGTGGATATAAAGAATATAAGAACAGATAATGCATTGAAAATAACAGCATCTCCCATTAGAGGTCGTCAATGTTCATATAAGTACAAATGACGACTGGAGTAGTCCATTATTCTGTAGGTAGGCTTTTGTTCTTTCAGTAGTCATAATGGGAGTGAGCCGAATCAATTACCAATGGACTCTCACCAAGCACTCCGTTGTAGAACAAAACAAATGGATTCTGTGTCTGGTTGGTTTTGAATTCAAAATGTGAACAAAATTATAAGACTATCGGTATTGGTCAGTTAAATACTATATCATCCAAAGGTCGTACGACTGTGACGTTCTGCCTCAAACACGAAGACGACAATAGATCAAGGTGATGTGAACAATGGTTGTATCACTGCTGGTTGTTGGATATAGATACCATATCCGTTACACTCAGCTTGTCGTGAGTTCGGAGAGTGTCACCGTCAGTGGTTGACCCGACGTATCTATAGACTCCTATCATTAACATTATACATAAGGACTCGTGAGTTAAATACCTTTCAATACGTTTTCAATACGTGCCGGTTTCTATACATGGTTAATCATGCTACTTTCAGGCGGGGCTGGTGATTGGGCGTCTATTGTCGTGTCCAAGGTTTATCTCTGAATGTACTTTAGGTGTTGCGGGTGTTTCTTTTGTTTCACTACACCTTACACATTACAATGACACATTACGTGAGTGAATGTGCGTGACACTTGAGTATGCGTTCCAAGTATACATGACTTTGTTACTTGAGATAGTGTAATTGTTATACCCACGCTGTGTGAAGCCACTGAAGGCATGAGCAAGTAGAAGGAATGTCCAATCTGAAGTACATAATATACATTACATGACTCTGTGGCACACGGGCTATTGATTACACCATGGGGACATTACAGACCACGGTTGTCAGATGCCAGACAGTGACGTTGATGTGATCAAGCAACACGATAAACGTGGTATCACGATCCGATGAATATGCAAATGAGGTCACCAAGCAGGAAGTACTTTTAGTCAGCTCAATGCCTTGTCTACCTGCTCATAAATTCCATAAATTCCATTGATGATGAGACAGTGGTTTCCATGTGTGTGTTTTTTTAAGTTAACAAGCATGGTGCAAATGATTTGACATTATATCATAAATAGGGGTGGGGGTGTCTCTGGTAGTTTGAAGGGGCACGGGTGACCCAGTCGTCTAAGGCACCGCGATTCGCTGTGCAGAGTTGCGTCCGTTGGGCACGCCAGGAACCTATGATTGTGGATTCGAATCCCGGTTCGCCCCGATTATGTTTCTAGGTTTGTCAGCATCATACCCGTGCTCGTGGGTTTCACCGAAGTGGTAAACGTCTGAGACCTGCATCACTTCGAGCTTTCCTCCAACATTAAGCTGACACGCCGCGATATACTGTTACAAGTGCCGTTAAAATCAACTCACTCACTGGCACTTTGTATTCAATCTCAGTGACTTTAGAGAACAGCAATATGACAATAACTTCTTCTATGAGAGGCACTGAGACTTTAGAGAATAGCAATATGACAATAGCTTCTTCTATGAGAGGCACTGAGACTTTAGAGAATAGCAATAGGACAATAGCTTCTTCTATGAGAGACACTAAGACTTTAGAGAATAGCAATATGACAATAGCTTCTTCTATGAGAGGCACTGAGACTTTAGAGAATAGCAATATGACAATAGCTTCTTCTATGAGAGGCACTGAGACTTTAGAGAATAGCAATATGACAATAGCTTCTTCTATGAGAGGCACTGAGAATTTAGAGAATAGCAATATGACAATAGCTTCTTCTATGAGAGGCACTGAGACTTTAGAGAATAGCAATAGGACAATAGCTTCTTCTATGAGAGGCACTGAGACTTTAGCTTCGATTAGTTTGAGAATGACATTATAACAGAAGCGTTTGTGTATCCTTATGTAATATCGATATACAGCATTTCTATAGGAGGAGAGGCCGGTCACATGACGTTTTTCACGAGGCTATATTCTTGAAGTGACATAAACCCTACCGGACTACTTCCACATTCGTGGGGAAACTCTGCAAATTCTTATGCATGAATACAAAAAAGCGTTCTTTCTGAACATTAAGACCCTTTAATCCTGCACTCAGCGTTTTGGTATACATTGAGTAACGTTAGACACTTTGTCTGCATGATTGTTAATGACTATCCTCGCTATGACCAATCCTTGGGAACAAAACTTAGAACACATTAGCATCGAAGTATCGTGTCGAGACTAACAGTTACAGTCGACAGCAATCTATGAATTTACCCTAGTATCTATCTGACACGTCTCTATAATCACATTTCCATGATCGGCCAACTGACCAATGATGGTTAACACATGTAACCGCCACAGGTTCATGAGCAACTTCGAAAATATCTCCCGTCACATTTATCGTGTGTGCCATTTTGACTTCTTTTACTTGATGTAGATCTAAAACTGAGGTAGTTCTTAACAGGCCTTTCTCACCCAATGATGATAGATTTTAAATACATTTGTTGTAAACAAACTACAATATATGTTCTTCTGTCAGAGTCACCTCTCTTTTGTGGGGAACTATTATATTGCACAATACAGCTGGTTGTTGTATGGCTGTCAGTGTAAACTATTAAGTCACGCTATAGATCTGGCGCCACATCCCTCGGGATATGACATTGTGATATAAAAAAATAATAAGAATTGACTTTCACTTTGGGTGAGTTCATTGGAGTGTGAACCTTTGTAGAGTGAGGGCCAAACTGTATGAACGTGGGAAGTCATTACTTAAGTAAAAAAAGCCCACGACTGGCGGACAGTAAATATGAAACAAAATCGGGATTGCCATCTTAAAGTTATGGCAATCAAGTGATTCTATACATGTCATGGCTACAGGGTAATTAGCCTTTGATTATTCAGACAAAGGCTGTCCCAAAACGGTCGTCATGACAATATTCCTTCCAACTGCCTTTTGTCTCCTAATCAAAGTGTGTGCCTCATTCTGTCAACAAAATAACATGTCACTTAAAACGTTTTGTAGGAACTATATGGGGCGGGGTCTTAAGTGTGTTCTACAGTTTACAGTGAGTGCATGTAATATCGCTACTCCATGACTGCCAGAGGCAGTTAGCGGAATAAATGAGTGGAGTGAATGAGCGAGTGAATAAGAGTGGAGTGAGTGATTGAGAGTAGAGTGGAGAGTGGGCGTGAATGGATTATAACAATGTGTGAGAGTAGTGAGAGAGTAAGTGGATTATGTCAATGAGTGAGTGAGTGAGAGTAGTGTGAGAGTGAGTGAGAGTAGTGAGAGAGTAAGGGGATTATTTCAATGAGTGAGTGAATGAGAGTAATGTGAGAGTGAGTTGATTATTTCAATGAGTGAGTGAGTGTAATACATATCAGCACAGGTTATAAAATGTGTTTTTGTTCGGGTCAGAGTATACCAGCGCATACCAGTTTTATGTAATATTAGTATTAATATAGGTATTATTTGTATATGCATGATAAGAATTACATTTGACTTGACTTTTCCGGTTTGACGTATGGCTGTTTTGACTTGTTACCGAGCGTATCAGCAAACCTGTCCCAGCCCGCATTGCGTCACTACGTCACACTGTCGCGGGTGGAGGGACGGCTATTGAGACACAGGGTAAGTTGGAGTGTTACGCTACAGTGAGACAGAGATATGTAGCATTCTGCTGGAACATTCAATCGTTCCACAAACTGTAGAGGTCTATTGTTTTACAGAAATAATCTCCCACGGCGTGAAACTGGTCAGTTAAGTCACATCGAGTGCTGGGAATCTACTCTAATCCAGGTCGAAATGGAGTTACTCTCGGTTTAGATTGTAAGAATACCTTGCACGTCACCCGTCTCGATTACCCGACTAAAAAGATTTCATTCCGCGCAAAATGTAAATAGAAGTGAAAATCATGTGCAAGAATCACTGAAAATCAGTGATGACACCAGGTGTTCGCGAATCGGGTAAGCATGTCTTGCCCCACCAGAAACAACCGCCAATCACACAATTTTCATGAAAAAATGTTTGTTGCCCGACACCCACAGCAATACTTGGTTAGTACCCGGATGGATAATCAAACATTGACAGTGACTCAGTTGTTTACGATCACCACTTGTTTGTTTATTCCGTGGACGATGCGTTGGCCACCCTGATGGAACCGGAATGATGAAGGGACTGGTCATTTATTAGAAGGTGGGTGGGTCGTTGAGTGATGGTTATGAAAGTAGGACACAGCGAAAGTGGAATGTTTATATTAAAAATATAAGTTTACATGTTATAAGCGGTACATGTATGGACTTGAACCACTCCAGTGTCGTAACAACAGTTTTGAAAGAGGTTTTTTTCAGATTATCTCCCTTGACTTAAACAGAAAATAGAGCAGCATGTACTTTTGGAGCCTTGTCCATTGTGAAACTTTAAGGAGTTTTTAGCACATGTTTAAGTCTGTGCTGATGTTGAAATTAGTAGATTTTACTATTGATTCTGTCAACAATTCATGCTGTTTAAATAATATTTGACGTAATATGCCGCTAGACTGATGTCATGAGACCAACATGCTGGAGAACTGTTTGAGTGAATTCTGTAAGGTGATACAATCATACAAACCCAGTGAACAGTGTTTCTACAGCCAGAGGAAAATATTTTCTGATGTATATTTATAGTATCATATATTGCACTTCAATTTTTCAAAATAGTTCCTGTCAAACGTTTTCTGTATTTGATAGACATTTACACTGAAGCAACATGGGATGTAGTGTGGGGTGCTTTTAAAATGTCTGCCTCACATTTATGCCTAATATTGAACCAGTCACTTAAAACTGACAGTATCTATCAGACCCAAACCAGCATCGGTGCTGTTATCTTTCCACAGCAAGTGAGTGGAACAGTCTCCCCCTTGGACAAAAGGTTTTCCAAAGTTTCCAGATCTTGAGGCGCCGTTTACAGACTCACCTATACAAGCTCGCATATATTGACTACACTGAAACCTGGGGCGGTCGGGTAGCCTAGTGGTTAAAGCGTTCGCTCGTCATGCCGAAGACCTGGTTTCGATTCCCAATATGGGTACAATGTGTGTAGCCCATTTCTGGTTTCCCCGCCCTCATATTTCTGGGATATTCAACAATTGCGTAAAACAACATTCACTTACTCACTCACAACACTGAAACCTTTCTTGTGCGCTTCAATCATATATTGCGTGTGGAGTTATGTGCAACATAAGTGAACGATTAATATATTAATACAGTCCATCAAAATTTTCTCTTCAATTTCAACCAATTTTGCAATCGACTATTAATCTGTTAATTAGCTCAATTCGATGATGATGATATTTGTTTTTGTCTGATGAAAGAATACAAAATCACTAATTAAAAAGTGAAATGAAAAGGGTAGAGCTGATACGTTTTAGAAACTGATATTGAAAGGTTAGAAATAAAATCAGCGAAATCAGTGGATCTATAGTTGTTGTTGAAATTAGCAATGACAGTGATGAGAGCTCTCGTGGGTTTCACCAAAGTGGTGAACGTCCTGGATATGCGTCACTTCCGGCTTTCCTCCCACATTAAGCTGACACACCCAGATGTAACTGAAATACTGTACACTCCATCTTGATAACGGTGTAAGAATCTACATCAAATGTCGCTAAATGCAGAAGTTGTTATAAATAAAGTTGTATGTTTTCTTCTTTACTCATCAACTGCTGCTGGCGGTCGGGTAGCCTAGTGGTTAAAGTGTTTGCTCGTCACGCCTAAGACCCGGATTATATTCCCGACATGGGGACAATGTGTGAAGCTCATTTCTGGTGTCCCCCTCCATGATATTGCTGGAATATTGCTAAAAGCGGCGTAAAAACATACCCACTCCATCACACATATCTAGAACCCCAAACAAACTGTTAACTGAAAGACTGTACAAAGGAGCGTCAAGCACAACGCACTAACTCATTTACGTAGGTCGGACAGTACTGAGGAACCCGCCTTGCTTTCAACATGTTCAAGTCACTTGTTCAGTGTTAAATATTCAGACGCATTTTACATGCATTATGATTGGTCACTACTGTCAATGATAACTTATATCGTCATAACTATCAGATATTCAATATTTCCAAACCTCCACATCACACAATAAAAATGTATTAACATTCAATCACCAGTCCTTAAAATACATGAATGATATTAAACAGTTATTCCTTTGTTTCAGATGGCAGCTGCCAGAAAGCTTGAGAGTCTGAATGAGAACTTCTTGACCTGTTCCATATGTACGGAGGGATACCAAGACCCCTGTACTCTGACCTGTGGACACACCTTCTGTAAGGGCTGCCTGGGGAAATTCCTGAAGACCAGACAAGAGGCCATCAGAGCCAAGTCCATCCCGTGTCCCTACTGTCGTCAGATGACCCAAGCTCCCCAGCCTGACAGACCAGTGGAGGAGTGGGTGAAACAGATCAAGCCCAGTTTCCTCATACAGGGACTTCTGGACACTCTAGCCTGTGGGGGAAATACTGATCATGGTAAGTAAATGTGATCTAGAAGAAACCGAAAGATGACAATATTCTTCCCAGGGGCGTAAGATCCCTGGCCGCATCTCACCAAAAGACGGCATTAGTTGTCACTCTGCCAGGCGCTCGACATTAAAAGGATAAAAGAGGGACTGGTAGTTTTAAAGTCAGTAAATGGTGCGTGCGTGGGGTATCCATGTTAAACTCCACTATCTCAGTGAGGTGGTACTATAAAACTGGCCCGCACGCACGTCGCTACATCAGTGCAATAATTTTCAAAGCGATGTTAAACGTCTATTTTGAATTACACTGTCGCCGATTCAGTTTCCACTGAAACCAAGAACCCCAAGTAGAATATCTTATATGAGATGGACTGTGACGCTATCATCCAGCAGGTTCTCTATCCTGAATGACCGAGGTAATTCCAAACCAGGTTCAGTCTATGCACGTTCATGCGTCATCAAAATGGTGATGGAAAACTGTTTATTGTAGATGAATGTATTCAAGACGAAACTGAAGGATCACCTATATTTATCAGGATTATCTAGAATAAATCTTTGTCATTTCAGTTTTGAAATCTATACATGTAGGTTATCCCAAGGTACTTTCCGGACCCTGTATACGTTGAACCGCACAATGGGCAGAATTAACATTTTTACACTGATTCACTCACTGTGTACGTTGACATCTTCCTACAAACATTATCTCATTATTGTGTTAAACATTGCACGTTTGATGTGACAGGTTTATCCATGACTTGTTCAGATACAGAAAACCGCTGCCATCCCTGCCAGGACCTTGGAGAAAGTCATCCGGCCAACTCCTACTGTCAAGACTGTGATGTGCCGCTCTGTGAGAGATGTGTGAAGATGCATGCATCTCTTCCTGGTACGTCAAACCACGTAATTGCTGACCTTGGTAGAGCAGTGAAGGTCACTAGACGACAGATGTGCACGGAACACAACAAAGTCATGGATTTCTGCTGCAGAGAATGTAATAAAGCAATATGCCACAAGTGCTGTGTCACATACCACAGGAAATGCGACTCTGTGGTCACTATTCAATCTATAATGTCTGAGATGAGAAGTGTTCTTACACGCAATAAGGGATTGATTACAAAGAGCTTTGACGACACGGACAGATCACTTCAACAACACAGATCACAGATTGATGCGATCAGCCACAACAAAGACAAAATAAAGTCACAGATACGACAGGCCTCACAGAAAGCCATGGACGTGATTAAACAGAAGGAGAAAGAGCTGCTGGAGGAGCTGAATGAAATGACAGAGAAGCAGTCTGGACAACTGAGGGGGCGGATAAAGTCAGGGGAAATAGACATGCAGATGTATCAACAACACATAGAGTACATCACCCAGGTGTTGAAGTCTGGGAGTGAGACTGACATGTTTGACGTTTACCAGATGTGTCAGTCTGGGGCAATCAAGAAGGCAACAGACAGGGATGTCACTTTAACAGACAGTGTCCCTGATTCAAAACTTATATTTGTAAGTGAATTAGATGAGAGGAAATTATACAAGGATGTACAACTTGGTAGAATTCAACAGAACGTTTGTGACGTCATGGATAAGCGACTTGGTAAAACACAGAGTGGCACATTTGACGTCATGTGCCAGCCAATGTTAAACAAGACAGTCGGCATCAAGGTCTATGGCGACAGGAAGCAGCCGTGTCCATCTGACGTCATAGTCCTGGTTGTTGACGGTGAAGAGACACTGGTGGTCACTGACTACAACAATACATGTCTGAAATCCTTCTACACAAAGAATAACAAATCACGACACAGTAAACTGGATCTTCCAAGTGAACCATGCTCTGTGACGAGGCTGAGGGACAACCAGGTGGCTGTATCATGCCGGTCACACAATGAGATTGTAATAGTACGGGTGACCCCTGACCTTGTACTACAGTCACGTGTCACAACAAAGAAGACGTACATGGGTCTGACAGCCTTGAGTCCTTCAACATTAGCAGCGGGTTGTTTGGATCCTCCCTGTGTTGATATCCTGGATATATCGGGGAGAGTGATGAGGTCAGTCAGTAGATTCAACTCTGGGGAGAACCTGATATGTAAGCCCTGCTTCCTCTGTGCTACAGACAGGGGCAACATCCTGGTGTCAGATATTGACGCAGACTCCGTCTACTGTATCACACCAGAGGGAGATGTTGTGTTCACCTACACCCCTACAGGAGAGAGGAGACTGAGAAGACCACAAGGTATCACAACTACCAGCACAGGACACATCCTGGTGGCGGACTCCTGGGCACACAAGGTGGTACTACTGACACCAGCAGGGGAGTTTGTCACAGACCTGCTGACGTCACAGGATGGACTACAGAATCCATGTGGCTTGATGTTCTGTGATTGTAAACTGTATGGGGTGGAAGACAATGGAGATACTGTGAAGGTATTCAACTGCAGTATTCCCCAGTGAGACGCCAGGAAGCAAAACATACTCCGATCACATCGTGCACTGATTTATGTTCTGTGACTGTAAACTGTATGTAGTGGAAGACAATGGAGATGCTGTGAAGGTATTCAACTGTAGTATTCCCCAGTGAGACGCCAGGAAGCAAAACATACTCCGATCACATCGTGCACTGATTTATGTTCTGTGACTGTAAACTGTATGTAGTGGAAGACAATGGAGATGCTGTGAAGGTATTCAACTGCAGTATTCCCCAGTGAGACCCCAGGAAGCAAAACATACTCCGATCACATCGTGCACTGATTTATGTTCTGTGACTGTAAACTGTATGTAGTGGAAGACAATGGAGATGCTGTGAAGGTATTCAACTGCAGTATTCCCCAGTGAGACGCTAGGAAGCAAAACATACTCCGATCACATCGTGCACTGATTTATGTTCTGTGACTGTAAACTGTATGTAGTGGAAGACAATGGAGATGCTGTGAAGGAATTCAACTGCAGTATTCCCCAGTGAGACCCCAGGAAGCAAAACATACTCGGATCACGTCGCGGAGAATTTTTTATGATGAATATTCAGAAATATGCCCCAAATGAACAGTTTGTTTTGTGAAAAATACCCCAGACGCCAACCACATTTGAACATAGATTACAGTGAATGAGTGAATATGATAATATGCCGCTTTTAGCCGTATTCGAGCAATACCCTCACCACAACGGGGGCACATTGATCAACCGAACCTGGGACATCGGCAGGACGAGCGCATACACATGACAAGCACATATTGAATTATTGGATTAGTTGTAGTGGCTATTTTCGGTTAAATGTTGGGACAAGACAAGAATAATGCAAGTAGTAGACGTTTACAACTTTGGAGAAACAAACGAGCACGGAAACGGTGCTGACAAACCGAGAAAATTAATCAGGGCCAGTCTGGGATTCAAACCCACACCTGTAGGTGCCTATCACGTCTAAGGGACGCAATTACGCAATCAAATCTCGGCGCCACAGGGAACCCCATATGTTCTGTGAGGCAACGGAATTTAACCCTGAATATTGTACTTACTCAAAGAGCTACACGTTCACTTTCATTATCCAGCAAGACCGTTTACTAGCGTTACTATCAGTAACTCTCGCTGATAATACTTTAACTGGTGCGTGAGACATCCACCTAAGTACTCTATAAACATTTTGTATGTATTTAATGACTTTAGAACATGTATGTATTTAATCATGTTTCAAGAAATATCTCCTAAGCTTTACCAGACTGGATTTTGTACAGTTTTATTGTTTAAATAACATGTTATATTTATATTATGTACAACATGTGACACTATCATATAATATATCTTATCTTATCTGTTCTTACATTTACTAATGCCTACACACTTCAGCAATTTGTAGACTGATAGGATAACCACTATCATTAATATGAAAGTCATATTTCATGTATATTGAATAAACTTTTCAGTAACATATGCATTTTAATATCCCATTGGTGAGTTCGTTTGTTGTTTCACGCCGCACTCAGAAACATCGCAGCTATGTGACGGTGGTCTGTAAATACTCGAGTCTGGAGTCAGCGAGCCTGACCACCCGATTCCGTTACTCGCCTCTCATGACAGGCAAGCTGAAGACCAATTCTAACCAGGGATCTTCACGGGGTTGATGAGCCCTTGATGAAGTCAAGTTTCACTTTTAACTTTGTACAATGTTTCTTCCATTGTTGTGTGTTTAGTCGCATATCTTCTCATCCATGAGCGCGCTTCGTAATTGAAATTCCATCTAACTAGTAAAGACACATGAATTATCTCCCTTTGACCACGAAGTAGTTGGTGCCAAATGTTCTTTGAGTGAGTGAGTGAGTTTGATTTTACGCCGCTTTTAGCAATATTCCAGCAGTATCACGGCGGGGGACACCAGAAATGGGCTTCACGCATAAATGTTCTTTGAATCAACACATTTCATATATGTTTCCAGGATATAAAAAAGAAAGGATCTTGATTATATATATGTATGTTATCATCTTTCAACGAAACGTATTTGAACTGTGCTCTAGTACCATTCACGACTTCGTTTGACAACAAAAGAAAGGCACTCTAATTGCAGAACTATGTTATACAGTAGTTAAGGGACTACCTGATATTGATCCTGTGAACCCGATGCTTCAATTCTTAATGACATTCAATCGTGACAGTTTTGACAAAACAAAAGGCAACTATGCTTGTCGTGGGAGGCGACTAACGGGATCGGGTGGTCAGGCTCTCTGACTTGGTTGATGCATGTCATCGTATCCCAATTGTGTGGATCGATGCTCATGATGTCCATCCCTGGATTGTCTGTTCCAGACCCTATTATTTACAGACTGCCGTCATACAGCTGGAATATTGCTGAGTTGGTCGTTAAACAACAAACAAAACTCTAGTTTGTGGTGAGGGAGTCAGTCATGCTTGGTTATAATGGTGACTGAGTGTTACAACGTGTGACATTGACCATACACTATTGCTGTCGTCATCGAAAGTCGAGTGCAAGGTTTGCTGTTAATAGAGCCCAAGACACACGTGGACCCGTGTTATTGCTGTCAGCCTGTGGTCTGCATGTCCCATATTCGACTGTTTGTATACAGGCTGATATAACTGAAATGTTGCTGACTGGGGGACGTCAATGTATCTCCATGTTCCCGCAGAGCTTCTCTGATGATCCCCGTTTGATGGCCATACACTATTTATACACGTACAAGTACGAACAATGATATGGTGTTAAGTATTGTTGTTTGTGGTCACACAGACATATCAATGGCCGCTAGATACATTACTGCCCTGCTCACAACACATCCAAAAGCCGCTAGATATATTACTGCCCTGCTCACATCACATCCAATAGCCTTATCTTATCTTATCTGTTCTTACATTTACTAATGCCTACACACTTCAGCAATTTGTAGACTGATAGGATAACCACTATCATTAATATGAAAGTCATATTTCATGTATATTGAATAAACTTTTCAGTAACATATGCATTTTAATATCCCATTGGTGAGTTCGTTTGTTGTTTCACGCCGCACTCAGAAACATCGCAGCTATGTGACGGTGGTCTGTAAATACTCGAGTCTGGAGTCAGCGAGCCTGACCACCCGATTCCGTTACTCGCCTCTCATGACAGGCAAGCTGAAGACCAATTCTAACCAGGGATCTTCACGGGGTTGATGAGCCCTTGATGAAGTCAAGTTTCACTTTTAACTTTGTACAATGTTTCTTCCATTGTTGTGTGTTTAGTCGCATATCTTCTCATCCATGAGCGCGCTTCGTAATTGAAATTCCATCTAACTAGTAAAGACACATGAATTATCTCCCTTTGACCACGAAGTAGTTGGTGCCAAATGTTCTTTGAGTGAGTGAGTGAGTTTGATTTTACGCCGCTTTTAGCAATATTCCAGCAGTATCACGGCGGGGGACACCAGAAATGGGCTTCACGCATAAATGTTCTTTGAATCAACACATTTCATATATGTTTCCAGGATATAAAAAAGAAAGGATCTTGATTATATATATGTATGTTATCATCTTTCAACGAAACGTATTTGAACTGTGCTCTAGTACCATTCACGACTTCGTTTGACAACAAAAGAAAGGCACTCTAATTGCAGAACTATGTTATACAGTAGTTAAGGGACTACCTGATATTGATCCTGTGAACCCGATGCTTCAATTCTTAATGACATTCAATCGTGACAGTTTTGACAAAACAAAAGGCAACTATGCTTGTCGTGGGAGGCGACTAACGGGATCGGGTGGTCAGGCTCTCTGACTTGGTTGATGCATGTCATCGTATCCCAATTGTGTGGATCGATGCTCATGATGTCCATCCCTGGATTGTCTGTTCCAGACCCTATTATTTACAGACTGCCGTCATACAGCTGGAATATTGCTGAGTTGGTCGTTAAACAACAAACAAAACTCTAGTTTGTGGTGAGGGAGGGAGTCAGTCATGCTTGGTTATAATGGTGACTGAGTGTTACAACGTGTGACATTGACCATACACTATTGCTGTCGTCATCGAAAGTCGAGTGCAAGGTTTGCTGTTAATAGAGCCCAAGACACACGTGGACCCGTGTTATTGCTGTCAGCCTGTGGTCTGCATGTCCCATATTCGACTGTTTGTATACAGGCTGATATAACTGAAATGTTGCTGACTGGGGGACGTCAATGTATCTCCATGTTCCCGCAGAGCTTCTCTGATGATCCCCGTTTGATGGCCATACACTATGTATACACGTACGAGTACGAACAATGATATGGTGTTAAGTATTGTTCTTTGTGGTCACACAGACATATCAATGGCCGCTAGATACATTACTGACCTACTCACAACACATCCAAAAGCCGCTAGATATATTACTGCCCTGCTCACATCACATCCAATAGCCTACTAGACACATTATTGTGATGCTCACAACACATCCAATAGCCTACTAGACGCATTACTGCCCTTCTCACAACACATCCAATAGCCAACTAGATACATTACTGCCCTGCTCACAACACATCCAATAGCCCACTAGATACATTACTGCCCTGGTCACAACACATCCAATAGCCAACTAGATACATTACTGCCCTGCTCACAACACATCCAATAGCCAACTAGATACATTACTGCCCTGGTCACAACACATCCAATAGCCAACTAGATACATTACTGCCCTGCTCACAACACATCCAATAGCCAACTAGATACATTACAGCCCTGCTCACAACACATCCAATAGCCAACTAGATACATTACTGCCCTACTCACAACACATCCAATAGCCACTAGATACATTAATGTCCTGCTCACAACACATCCAGTAGCCTCTAGATACATTACTGTCCTGCTCACAACACATCCAATAGCCGCTAGATACGTTAATGTCCTGCTCACAACACATCCAATAGCCGCTAGATACGTTACTGCCCTGCTCACAACACATCCAATCTCGATGCATTACTGCCCTACTCACGACACATCTAATATAGATGCATTACTGCCCTTCTCACAACACATCCAATAGCCGCTAGATACATTAATGTCCTGCTCACAACACATCCAGTAGCCTCTAGATACATTACTGTCCTGCTCACAACACATCCAATAGCCGCTAGATACGTTACTGCCCTGCTCACAACACATCCAATATAGATGCATTACTTCCCTGCTCACAACACATCCAATATAGATGAATTACTGCCCTGCTCACAACACATCCAATAGCCGCTAGTTACATTACTGTCCTGCTCTTAACACATCCAATAGCCTATGGATACATTACTGCCCTGCTCACAACACATCCAATAGCCGCTAGATACATTACTGTCCTGCTCACAACACATCCCATATAGATACATTACTGCCCTACTCACAACACACCCAATAGCCACTAGATTCATTACCGCCCTGCTCACAACACATCCAATAGCCGCTTGATACATAACTGCCCTGCTCACAACACATCCAATAGCCGCTAGATACATTACTGTCCTGCTCACAACACATCCCATATAGATACATTACTGCCCTGCTCACAACACACCCAATAGCCGCTAGATACATTACTGCCCTGCTCACAACACATCCAATAGCAGCTAGATACATTACTGTCCTCCTCACAACACATCCAACAGCCAACTAGATACATTAATGCCCTGCTCACAACACATCCAATAGCCACTAGATACATTACTGCCCTGCTCATAACATATCCAATAGACAACTAGATGCATTACTGACCTGCTCACAACACTTGCAATAGCCACTAGATGCATTACTGTCCTGCTCATAACACATTCAATAGCCGCTAGATACATTATTGCCCTGCTCATAACATATCCAATAGACAACTAGATGCATTACTGCCATGCTCACAACACATCCAATAGCCGCTAGATGCATTACTGCCATGCTCACAACACATCAAATAGCCACTAGATACATTACTGCCCTGCTCACAACACATCCAATAGCCACTTGATACATTACTGCCCTGCTCACAACACATCCAATATAGATGCATTACTGCCCTGCTCACAACACATCCAATAGCCAACTAGATACATTACTGCCCTCCTCACAACACATCCAATAGCCACTAGATACATTACTTCCCTGCTCATAACATATCCAATAGACAACTAGATGCATTACTGCCCTGCTCACAACACTTCCAATAGCCGCTAGATGCATTACTGTCATGCTCACAACACATCCAATAGCCAACTAGATACATTACTGCCCTACTCACAACACATCCAATAGCCACTAGATACATTACTGCCCTTCTCACAACACATCCAATAGCCAATTAGATACATTACTGACCAACTTATAACACATCCAATAGCCTACTAGGCACATTACAGCCCTACTCATAACACATCCAATAGCCCACTAGATACATTACTGCCCTGGTCACAACACATCCAATAGCCAACTAGATACATTACTGCCCTGCTCACAACACATCCAATAGCCACTAGATACATTACTGCCCTACTCACAACACATCCAATAGCCTACTAGATGCATTACTGCCCTACTCATAACACATCCAATAGCCCACTAGATACATTACTGCCCTACTCACAACACATCCAATAGCCAACTAGATACATTACTGCCCTACTCACAACACATCCAATAGCCTACTACATGCATTACTGCCCTACTCATAACACATCCAATAGCCCACTAGATACATTACTGCCCTACTCACAACACATCCAATAGCCTACTAGATACATTACTGCCCTACTCACAACACATCCAATAGCCTACTAGATACATTACTGCCCTACTCATAACACATCCAATAGCCAACTAGATACATTACTGCCCTACTCACAACACATCCAATAGCCAACTAGATACATTACTGCCCTACTGACAACACATCCAATAGCCAACTAGACACATTACAGCCCTACTCACAACACATCCAATAGCCAACTAGATACATTACTGCCCTGCTCACAACACATCCAATAGCCAACTAGATACATTACTGCCCTACTCACAACACATCCAATAGCCTACTAGGCACATTACAGCCCTACTCACAACACATCCAATAGCCAACTAGATACATTACTGCCCTACTCACAACACATCCTATAGCCTACTAGGCACATTACAGCCCTACTCACAACACATCCAATAGCCAACTAGATACATTACAGCCCTGCTCACAACACATCCAATAGCCAACTAGATACATTACTGACCTACTCATAACACATCCAATAGCCAACTAGATACATTACTGCCCTACTCACAACACATCCGATAGCCACTAGATACATTACAGCCCTGCTCACAACACATCCAATAGCCAACTAGATACATTACAGCCCTGCTCACAACACATGCAATAGCCAACTAGATACATTACTGACCTACTCATAACACATCCAATAGCCAACTAGATACATTACTGCCCTACTCACAACACATCCAATAGCCACTAGATACATTACTGACCTACTCACGACACATCCAATAGCCTACTAGGCACATTACAGCCCTGCTCACAACACACCCAATAGCCTACTAGATACAATACAGCCCTTCTCACAACACATCCAATATAGATACATTACTGACCTACTCATAGCACATCCAATAGCCTACTAGACACAATACAGCCCTTCTAACAACACATCCAATATAAATACATTACAGCCCTGCTCACATGACATCCAATAACTGACAACACATCCAATAGCCAACTAGACACATTACAGCCCTACTCACAACACATCCAATAGCCAACTAGATACATTACTGCCCTGCTCACAACACATCCAATAGCCAACTAGATACATTACTGACCTACTCACAACACATCCAATAGCCTACTAGATACATTACTGACCTACTCACAACACATCCAATAGCCTACTAGATACATTACTGCCCTACTCACAACACATCCAATAGCCTACTAGATGCATACTGAACTACTCACAACACATGCAATGCCTGACATATCATGGGTATGCAATTGCTGATATCAAGTGTCATCAAGAAATGTATTACAAAAATGTAAGAAGTTATAATCTTAAAGAAGAACAAAGCATGGTTATCGTAAAATAGAGTTGTCAAATAATAACGCATAGTGCTTTTGACTTGAAACTGTTCCTCATTAAATAATAAATGAATGATTCTTCATAATATTAAAAAATGCGAGAGTGTGTTGTGCCTCGTCGCTGCATGTGTGTTAAGCATCAGCTTGATAACGGTGTGAGCATCGACATCGAAACGGCGCTAATGCAATACACCAGGAGTAGATATCCAAAAGGTTGATCCACGTTGAGGTGATAGCACCGGCAAATGTGATAACACAGCGCCAACATCACTGGCAAAACCGTGCCAATATTGAAGGGGGGTCATGTTAAAGAATACATAATTTTATTGTCCTTGGGTCATTTCTTTCACCTCTCGTAACAAACACATACAAGGCTTCGAACTATATAAATAAAAACTTAAAGTTTTTTGTCAAGGTGCTTCACCTCACTTTTCCGTCCACGTATCATGAAGTGTATTAAACCATTCAGAAAAGTCTCCACAGAGTCATGCATCTCAAAGTCTGCCCGCGTCTTCAGCCACACTACCTGATACATGCCAATATCAACCACTTGTAAACATCCGTGCCTACGTTCAGTGAATATACCAGTTCCTCATGATTACCCGAGAACAACACTCGAACCTGGCACTTTGTGACACATTCCTGACCAAACATATTCCAATATAAGAATGCAGAATCCTGGTGTGTGGAGGCCTGCATATGACGTACAGTTCCCGTTACCAAACATCTTCGTTTATAAGAATTACATAAGTTCGGATTACGATCTAGCAAATACAGAAAGTCTTCAGTCGACGTCTTCAACACTCCAAGAACCGAACCACGTCAGCACCGACATCATCAGCATGACCACCACGACTGTAGAGTCTCCCCTGCCACCACACCCACAAGTAACCGTCTTCTCCCTGAAACAAAACATCAGAAAATATCTACTGCTGGTAACTATGTGATATAATACTACCTATAGGGACAGGCCATTGATGCTCCGGGGATGGAGGTGAAGGGATGGAGAAAGTTGAGGGTGGGTGGGGGTGGGGATGGGGGATGGGGGATGGGGTGGGTGGGGTGGGAGGTGGGGGGTTGGTGGAGCGATGGATGTAGAGGGGGCGGGGGAGGGTTGGGTGCGGAGGGGTGGGGACGGGGAGGGGGAGAGGCTTGTTATATTGTTCTGCAAATACTTGAAACAATACTTTGACCTCAGGGTTTACACAAGAGACAGACAGACTGTTCACTGGATCCTGAAACAAACGTGGTGTGGTTCCTCAAACAGTTATCGGACCTTCAGCCGTGGTAGGCAATGCTTGATCAACTGTTACCTGTAGCAATCAATGACAGTCATCCGACGGCCTATGTTCATGAAGTGGTCGGAGTGTTACGACTACGCTCATCTGTATTTAATACATGAGATATCTGATATCGCCTGTCCTTGCTGAACGACGTCAGATACGTCATCATCCAAGTACTATACGTCATTATGGAGATCAGATACTCATATATATATATATATATATATATATATATATATATATATATATATATATATATATATATATAAGTCGAGGGTGACACGGGTAGATTAAAACATTACCGCACCACACAGACTAAGCCGCACAGAATGTTGTCCTGGCGAGATATAAGAAGGTACCCACCCAAGTGATGACACTATTTTCAAAGCAACGCCGTCGTCTTTGAACGCCGTTACTGAAGACGTCGTCAAAAGGTACATCTCCCCTGAAGAAACAAAATGTAAATCTGAAGAAAACAGACAAACATATTTATTTCAGTATACTCGACATTTAGTGATGAATAAAGACTTAACCCTCGGGATCTCACCTTGTTCATCTTGACCAAAGGTCAGTATGAAGTTTCTAGGTCGCTCCCTGGCACCGCACGGACAATTTTTTCGGTCACACACCGGAAGCGGGGACGATGTCCAGCCGTCGCTGCCCTCGGTCAATGCCGACATGACGCTGAAAACAGACAGAGATGCAGGAAAGGTCGCAGATACAGATATAGATTCAGACACAGATGCAAAAATACGCGAACATAGATTCAGACAGGGACGCAGACACATACACACATAAGGGTATATATCTCTTCCTAAATGGTTGGAATCATGGATCACAAGGAAGTACAGGCTGCTGGGTGATCACAATGCAAATATCACAGCCACCTTCAAGTGGTACGGGTGACCTCCTACAAGTGGTACGGGTGACCTCCTTCAAGTGGTACGGGTGACCTCCTACAAGTGGTACGGGTGACCTCCTTCAAGTGGTACGGGTGACCTCTTTCAAGTGGTACGGGTGACCTCCTTCAAGTGGTACGGGTGACCTCCTTCAAGTGGTATGGGTGACCTCCTCCGAGTGTTACGGGTGACCTCCTACAAGTGATACGGGTGAACTCCTTCAAGTGGTATGGGTGACGTCCTTCAAGTGGTATGGGTGACCTCCCTCAAATGGTACGGGTGACCTCCTTCAAGTGATACGCCTGACCTCCTTCAAGTGATACGGGTGACGTCCTTCAAGTGATACGAGTGACCTCCTTTAAGTGGCTACGGGTGACCTCCTTCAAGTGGTATGGGTGACCTCCTTCAAGTGGTATGGGTGACCTCCTTCAAGTGGTACGGGTGACCTCCTTCAAGTGATGCGGGTGACCTCCTTCAAGTGATACGGGTGACCTCCTTCAAGTGATACGCGTGACCTCCTTCAAGTTATATGGGTGACCTCCTCCAAGTGGTATGGATGACCTCCTTCAAGTGGTACGGGTGACCTCCTTCAAGTGATACGGATGACTTCCTTCAAGTGGTATGGGTGACCTCCTTCAAGTGGTACGTATGACTTCCTTCAAGTGGTACGTATGACTTCCTTCAAGTGGTACGGGTGACATCCTTCAAGTGATACGGATGACTTCCTTCAAGTGGTACGTATGACTTCCTTCAAGTGGTACGTATGACTTCCTTCAAGTGGTACGGGTGACATCCTTCAAGTGGTACGGGTGATCTCCTTCAAGTGGTAGGGGGGACCTTCTACAAGTGATACGGATGACCTCCTTCACATAGTCCGAGTGAACTGATTCAAGTTTCCCGTGGTGCCTCCATGTAAGATGAGCTTTCTGGCCACACACCTGCATGTACTCACCCTGTCATGGCGTCTCCGTACAGATAGCGCCCGTACAGATCAGGAAGCTTCTTGCCTCTGTACACATATCCCCCGACGATGGCATGAAAGAGGTTGGTGTGATTGTACACGTAGATCGGCAGTGCTTCGTTCTCTGTAATCACAAGTTTACAGAATGTTGTCTTTTTCCAAACAGAATTGGAATGGCCCCCATCTTTACCGGAAGCACACAAATCACCCACTCAACCCCACCCCACCCCACCCGAAACAAAATATGATCGAGTCTTTACCCTAAACACACAAACCACCCACTCCACCCCACCTCACCCCGAACAAGATATGATCGAGTCTTTACCCGAAGCACACAAACCACCCACTCCACTCCACCCCAAATCTACCCGAAAAAAATATGATCAAGTCTTTACCCGAAGCACACAGACCACCCACTCCACCCCACCTCACCCCTAACAAAATATGATAGAGTCTTTACCCGAAGCACACAGACCACCCACTCCACCCCACCTCACCCCTAACAAAATATGATCAAGTCTTTACCCGAAGCACACAGACCACCCACTCCACCCCACCTCACCCCTAACAAAATATGATAGAGTCTTTACCCGAAGCACACAGACCACCCACTCCATCCCAACTCACCCCTAACAAAATATGATCGAGTCTTTACCCGAAGCACACAGACCACCCACTCCACCCCACCTCACCCTGAACAAAATATGATCGAGTCTTTACCCGAAGCACACAGACCACCCACTCCACCCGACCTCACCCCGAACAAAATATGATCGAGTCTTTACCCTTAACACACAAACAACCCGCTCCACCCCAACTCACCCCGAACAAAATGTGATCGAGTCTTTACCCGAAGCACACAGACCACCCACTCCACCACACCTCACCCTGAATAAAACATGATCGAGTCTTTACCTTAAAAAGTGGCAAGCAAAACATACAAAATATTCTCCAAAGACTAAATATTGTAATGATAATTGTGGATATCTGACTGACAGGTAGGAAATTCAAATTTTTGGCATTGTTTTCCAAATGGAGACTTATTCTTGTATCTGTACCCTCGTTATTCACAGTATGTATCCCTTTCACTTGTGTGCATGGTCCGCACAATTAGTATCATGAACTACTGTTCAGTATTCGAGATATTTTACTAATTGCAATTGAATGTTGATCTGCTCTTAGCCCCGAGACAGTTTGTGCCATACGGTCGGCCTTTACGGACATACTGATATACCATACCGCAGCTTAACATGGATACCCATTCCAACACCGTATACACCATCTTCCCGAGGCAAGCGTGTCCACTAGCCAACAGCAAAGCCTAGGTTCTACCCTTGCCACATCAACGCCACTTTTCTTAGCTCTGGCGCCACCTCGCGAAGATCACGAGCTGTGCCCCTTGTAATGAAAACTCGATATCCAATCAGATCGCTGTTCTTATCTCGTAGAGCATCACAAAGATGGCTAGTCGATCAGATAACGAAAACATTCATGATTTCGTCCCTGACACACAAAAAACCCATAGGCAATCGCTGGGGGGTTTAACATATGAAAAAGACGTGTCAACAAAGACAGGCAGCGGCAAATCACTACATGGGAAGGTGTACCAGTCGTGGAAGTTGCTTTTGTTAAACGTTCTCTGATTGGACTGTCGATTTGTACGATAGTCCAATCATATTTACCACAGGATATTGGGCTTGATGTGGCAAGAGTGGAAACAAGACATTGATAAAAAGGCTGGTAGACGCTCTTGCCTCGGGAAGGCGCGTATACACCGAGTAGACCAGTAATTGTGTTTTACCCCTAATGCCAGGCAGGGCAACACCAAGTACCATTTTTAACGTCTTTTGGTATGACGCAGAGGGAATCGAACCACCGACCTTCCACTCTCCGGGCAGACTCTAGTCAGACCAAGGAGGCAGTCTCGTGAAGTGTTGACGGTGAGAGAGACGAAGGCTACCTACCTATTGTTCCATTGCTGCACCTGGAGCTGTCGAAGCACTCGTTCCCCTCCCTGATGTTCCAGCCGTAGTTCCTGCCGCTGCGGATGACGTCGATCTCTTCATAAGCTCGTGCCCCTGGGTCGCCACAGAATATTCGCCGCTCACCTGCGAGAAGGGAAAGTGACGTGACATGTTGATTCAGGAAGTGACTCGCGACATCACCAAGGGCGGATCCAGCATTTGTATTTGTTTGTTTGCACTCAGCAATATTCCACCTTTATGATCGTCGACTGTAAATAATCGAGTCTGGATCAGACAATCCAGTGATTGACATCATACGCATCGATCAACGCAATTGGAATACGATGACATGCATCAACCAAATCAGAGAGCCTGGCCTCCGATCCCGTTAGTCGCCTCTGGAGCAGACAACGAGAGAGGATGTCTACAACATACATACTAGAGCACAGGTGTGCGTCCCTGTACCTCGCTGACATCCCCGGGCAAACTAGGGTACAGGGCTGCGTCCCTGTACAGCACTGACACCCCCGGGCAAAGTAGGGTACACGTCTACGTCCCTGTACATCACTAACACCCCCGGACAAACTAGGGTACAGTACTACGTCCAAGTACATCACTGACACCCCCGGGCAAACTAGGGTACAGGTCTGCGTCCCTTTACATCACTGACCCCCCCGGAGAAACTAGGGCACAGGTCTGCGTCCCTGTACATCACTGACACGCCCGGGCAAACTAGGGTACATGTGTGTGTCCCTGTACCTCGCTGACACCCCCGGGCAAACTAGGGGAAGGGTGTGCGTCCCTGTACCTCATCGACACCCCGTGCAAATTAGGGTACAGGTCTGCGTCCCTGTACCTAACCGATATCCCAGATCAAACTAGGGTACAGGTCTACGCCCCAGTACATCACTGCCACCCCAGGGCAAACTAGGGTACAGGTGTGCGTCCCTGTACCTCACCGACACCCCCGGGCAAATTGGGGTACAGGGCTGCGTCCCTGTACATCACTGACACCCCCGGACAAACTAGGGTACAGGTCTACGTCCCTATACATCGCTGAGACCCCTGGACAAACTAGGGTACAGGTCTACGTCCCTGTACATCACTGCCACCCCCGGGCAAACTAGGGTACAGGTGTGCGTCCCTGTACATCACTGACACGCCCGGGAAAACTAGGGTACATGTGTGCGTCCCTGTACATCACCGACACGCCCGGGCAAACTAGCTAGGGTACAGGTCTGCGTCCCTGTACATCACTGACACGCCCGGGCAAACTAGGGTACAGGTCTGCGTCCGTTTACATCACTGACACCCCCGGACAAACAAGACCACAGGTCTGCGTCCCTGTACATCACTGACACCCCCGGGCAAAGTAGGGTACACGTCTACGTCCCTGTACATCACTAACACCCCCTGAGAAACTAGGGCACAGGTCTGCGTCCCTGTACATCACTGACACGCCCGGGCAAACTAGGGTACATGTGTGCGTCCCTGTACCTCGCTGCCACCCCCGGACAAACTAGGGCCAAGGTCTACGTCCCTATACATCACTGCCACCCCCGGGCAAACTAGGGCACAGGTCTACGTCCCTGTACATCACTGACACCCCCGGGCAAACTAGGGCACAGGTCTACGTCCCTGTACATCACTGCCACCCCCGGGCAAACTAGGGCACAGGTCTGCGTCCCTGTACATCACTGACACCCCCGGACAAACTAGGGTACAGGTCTACGTCGCTGTACATCACTGCCACCCCCGGGCAAACTTGGGCACAGGTCTACGTCCCTGTACATCACTGACCGCCCCGGGCAAACAAGGGTACATGTCTACGTCCCTGTACATCACTGACACGCCCGGGAAAACTAGGGTACAGGTCTGCGTCCCTTTGCATCACTGACACGCCCGGGCAAACTAGCTAGGGTACAGGTCTGCGTCCCTGTACATCACTGATACGCCCGGGCAAACTAGGGTACAGGTGTTCGTCCCTGTACATCACTGACACACCCGGGCAAACTAGGGTGCAGGTCTGCGTCCGTTTACATCACTGACACCCCCGGACAAACTAGGGTGCAGGTCTACGTCCGTTTACATCACTGACACCCCCGGACAAACTAGGGCACATTTCTGCGTCCCTGTACATCACTAACACCCCCGGACAAACTAGGGTACAGTGCTGCGTCCCAGTACATCACTAACACCCCCGGACAAACTAGGGTACAGGGCTGCGTCCCTGTACAGCACTGACACCCCCGGGCAAAGTAGGGTACACGTCTACGTCCCTATACATCACTAACACCCCCGGACAATCTAGGGTACAGGTCTACGTCCAAGAACATCACTGACACGCCCGGGCAAACTAGGTTACAGGTCTGCGTCCCTGTACATCACTAACACCCCCGGACAAACTAGGGTACAGGGCTGCGTCCCTGTACATCACTGACACCCCCGGGCAAAGTAGGGTACACGTCTACGTCCCTATACATCACTAACACCCCCGGACAATCTAGGGTACAGGTCTACGTCCAAGAACATCACTGACACGCCCGGGCAAACTAGGTACCGGTACAGGTCTGCGTCCCTGTACATCACTGACACCCCCAGACAAACTAGGGCATAGGTCTGCGTCCCTGTACATCACTGACACCCCCGGGCTAAGCTATGGGACAGAGTGGCGGCGTCATGTTTCGTGCTGTACGTGTTGACTGTGATAGTCACGGTGAATGGGTGAATGGTGTTTCACAAATATTTCAATATGAAGGCGGCCTGTTCACGCTCCTTCAGTGAGTGAGTGAGTGAGTGAGTGAGTGGGTGGGTGGGTGAGTTTGATTTAACGTCGCTTTTAACATTATTCCAGATAATGGACAGCGTGTCTTAATGTGGGAGGAAAGCCCGAAGTGATGCAGTGATGCAGGACGTTTACCACTTCGGTGAAACCCACGAGCACGGGTATGGTGTTGTCAAACCGAGAAACAATCGTAGCGAACCGGGATTAAAATCCACAATCACAGGTTTCTGGCGTGCCCAAGGGATGCAACTCTGCACAGCGAATCGCGGCGCCTTAGGCAGATGAGCCCCCCGTTCCTCCCCGTAAAGCAAGCTTGACCACACCTCCTAACGGGATCATCAGGATCCGGTAATACGTGAACAGGGTTCTATTCTAGGTCTGGTGCTGGAATATGCTATCTACAGCTTCATTTCTGTTAACGTTAATCCAAAGGTGAAGTAACCCTTATGTACATTCTTTTAACGTGACTTTTTATATAATTATATAACTATTTAAGGAAAACGTCTTTACTACCCAGAACATGGTGAAGTAATCAAATAGACACCTCCACTTCACCAACGACCTTCACAGTGACCTCAACCGTACCCGTGAGTTCAAGGCCGTACATCGGGATAACACATGACAATAACCATAAAGGTGACCTTGACCTTTTATGTGCAAGACCGATAGGTTTTAAAGTATGGCCTCTGTACAGGAAATGTTTCGCAAAAATAATAGAATTTATCGTTCTCTAAAATCGTAACAACATTAAAGGTAAATTTTGGAAACAGGTGACCTTGACATTGACCTCCTAAAAGCTGTAAACAATATCCATGCTAGAATATCCTCAAATGTCATCACGCTCGTACTGCAGTCTAATTGATGTTCAATAAGTAGAATTTATCGCTTAAGGAAAACAGACCAGACCGGCAGCTCTGATCACGACGGCTTTGATACATGGCTAGAGCCCTGGCAGCCATTCTTCAATGACCCGACAGTAATAAACACCTTCCTGGTCCTCGCCACCTGCGGTTCTCACATCGGAGACTTCACACCGTGTGATGGAGAGTCGTGGAGAACACTTGTGATCGCGGAAACAGAGACACATGGCATCGGTCTGGTGTGTTAGAACTGGAAACGTGCGTGCGTGCGTGCGTGCGTGCGTGCGTGCGTGCGTGTTCTAGTCCGGACTGACTATATTACTTTGTTGAATGGAGACGTGCGTATGTGGAGCAGATGAAAGTTATAATCGTGGAGAATATACACAGATATAGACAGTCTCTTATAATATTTATGGTTTATTCACATATCCCTGTATTCAGTGTTGAATAAACGTGTCCTTTTATTCATTCATTACTATCACCATGGCAACTTCACAGACGGACATCAGATCATGCCGGTGACACCTTGTCAGTTTATGATATGCTTTTATCTGCATATATATACAGCGTACATACATTGTCTAAAAAATAATAGTGAGTCAGTGTTCACCGCTATCTGATGTCCACCACAGTTCACTGTTCACAGACTGTGCTACAAAGTAATCCCGAGACTGTATTGAATAGTGTCATGATTGTGTCTTGATTGTGTCATGATAGTGTCTTGATTGTGTCTTGAGTTTGTCTTGATTGTGTCATGATAGTGTCTTGATTGTGTCTTGATTGTGTCATGAAAGTGTCATGATTGTGTCTTGATTGTGTCTTGAGTGTGTCTTGATTGTGTTTTGATTGCGTCATGATAGTGTCATGATAGTGTCTTGATTGTGTCATGATAGTGTCATGATTGTGTCTTGAGTTTGATTTGATTGTGTCATGATAGTGTCATGATTGTGTCTTGATTGTGTCATGAAAGTGTCATGATTATGTCTTGATTGTGTCATGATAGTGTCATGATTGTGTCATGATAGTGTCATGATTGTGTCTTGATTGTGTCATGATAGTGTCTTGATTGTGTCATTATAGTGTCATGATTGTGTCTTGATTGTGTCATGATAGTGTCATGATTGGGTCTTGATTGTGTCATGATAGTGTAATGATTGTGTCTTGATTGTGTCATGATAGTGTCATGATTGTGTCATGATTGTGTCTTGATTGTGCCATGATTGTTCCATGAGAGTGTCTTGATTGGGTCGTTATTGTGTCATGATAGTGTCATGATTGGTCAGTCAGTGAGTTGGGTTGTGCGTCGCTTTTACCACCATTCCAGCAATATCGCGGAGCTCTGTCATCATGATGCAATAGAGTCACCCAGATGACCCATTGTGCACACTTGATCATGCGTGGGTATCTGTGGCACTGCAGACCTATTCTACCCGGAGTGTACGGGGTCTATTCCCTGTCCAGACGGGGGCGTGACGTGTCGCCAACTGTTAAAGAACATTTTCAAAGAGCATTCCTAAAACATTATGAAAAAGGTTGATCTTCCTACCATGCGCGACTAACGGGGTCGGGTGGCCAGGTTCGGTGACTTGTCGGTTGATGCATGTCATCGTGTCCCAGTTGCGTGGATCGATGCTCATGATCTCAATCACTGGATTGTCTGGTCGAGGCTCACTTATTTACAGACCGTCAGGATAAAGCTGGAATATCGCTGAGTGCGGCGCTTAACAACATTGATGTGACGCTTCACTCACCATTTTTGTCTGCAACTGTGTCTTGACTGCATCGCCACATATTACGACAACCGTACGCAAACACTTCCCGTCGCCATGGTGACTTGTCAACAAACGGATTGCTTGCGGGAATGCCGTACCGAAGCGCTGAGCCGCCCATGAAGCTTTGGCCGTCAACGTCAAGTCGAAGTATCTTCCCGAGGAGGCTGGTTCTGTATGAGTGAGTGAGTTAGTGAGATGGGTTTAACGCCGCTTTGAACAGTATTTCACTCATATCACACACAAAACCCAAACTACAGGTCTCGGCCGTTTAGTGCTTTATCAACACCCACAAGCACGATTATAATGCTGATGAAGATAAAAACATAATCAAAGGGAACTGGGATTCGAACCTAAGAGCATAGGTTCCTGGTACGTATAAGGGACGCAACTCTGTACAGCGACATGCAGATAGTATCCTAGTTCTCGTCACACAACACGGTCCTAGCACGACGAAAATCGTAAGTCTATGCTAAAGAACACGAGGAACGATCACCTTTACGCTAACGTCGGGATGTGGAACACGTTCCAGGCCTCGCTCCACAACACGGGATTAGAAGGAAGCGTGTCTACTGTCGTAACACAGACCTACAATAGTCATACAGCTAAGATTGCTTTGTGAATCGGGGCCATAACCAACCAACCCTGCAAACGTGATTCACCTCTCATAACTTTGTCTGTGATCTACATGTTATTATGTATGTCAACCTTGCAGATGCTTACTCCTCTCATTACAAAGTGTCTGACGACTGACGTCAAGACATTGACCTGGGCAGTTAACTCTGATTACAAAGTGTCTCACAACTGACGTCAATACATTTACCTGTGCAGTTTACTCTCATTACAAAGTGTCTGACGACTGACGTCAATACATTTACCTGTGCAGTTTACTCTCATTACAAAGTGTCTGACGACTGACGTCCAGACATTGACCTGGGCAGTTTACTCTCATTACAAAGTGTCTGACGACTGACGTCAAGACATTGACCTTGGCAGTTTACTCTCATTACAAAGTGTCTCACGACTGACGTCAAGACATTGACCTGGGCAGTTAACTCTGATTACAAAGTGTCTCACGACTGACGTCAATACATTTACCTGTGCGGTTTACTCTCATTACAAAGTGTCTGACGACTGACGTCCAGACATTGACCTGGACAGTTTACTCTCAATACAAAGTGTCTGACGACTGACGTCCAGACATTGATCTGGGCAGTTTACTCTCATTACAAAGTGTCTGACGACTGACGTCCAGACAGTGACCTGGGAAATTTTAGTCACATTACAAATTGTCTCACGACACATGGGCAGAATGTTCATGCAGGCTGCAGTGACAAAATTTGATAGAAAAAATACTTGTCCAGAATTACTGTAACAGGGACACGTTTTCCCGTTGTACGTAGGCAGTAGTTATTATCTGTGTTTTATACAATATAAACATGCAATAGTCAACATACGGGTCCTGGGCATGGTCACGTGGCACGCCATCGTCACCAATACCGTCTCCCACCGATATGTACAGATAACCGTCATGGCCGAACAGCAGCTGGAATTGGAAAAGTACATGACCTTCACCTTGACCTTAACCTTTAACGTTACATTAACGTAGCATTATTGCATTATATGTGACAATCCAGATACGTTGCACCTTTGTCTTTATTGGTATTTAATATAATTTAAATGAAATTATGTCGAAATACAAACTATCAACAAAATAGATTTTATAGTTTGTTTAGTATTGTGAAAACCTACCTGGCCGGCATTTCCAGCGTCAGTTATTTGTTCAATTCTTAAAAGCAGCCGCTCTGTTGTCGGTAGTGCGACATCGTCAACGACGGTAAACTCGCTGATGTAGGAGAACTGAACTCCCGAACTGTTTCCAATATAGTACACGTACAGTTTACCGTTCTCGTTATAACGCGGATGCAGAGTAAAACCAAGTAAACCTCTTTGATCGGCCGGAGTGTCTGTCAACACAACCCTGTCCGAAAGATCCAATAAAACACCACTTTTCTTGTCACGTGTTTCAAAATATCGCACAATCCCGCGTTGTTCAGCGATATAGTACCTCTTGTCCCGGAATTGAATATGGATCGGATTATATAACCCCGAGGTTTCATTCTTAAGACAGACACACGTCTGCGAGGGTGCCACGAAACCAGGAAGCGATATCAAGTGAAGTGAGAGGCACCATATGGTAGTGAACTCCAGCACATGGCGGGAAGACATGGCGACACACTGCTCGGCAGGGATCCTGTGGCACAGGTGAAAATAAATCCACTCAACAGGCTGTGTAAGGCAGATGACAGTACAGATCACAGGACAACTGGAATACTGAAAGATAAGGTCTGATATGAACTAATTATAGAAACGCGCCGATCGATTTCCGTCTTTGTGGCCTACGTGAGCATATCTCGTGCTGCCAGTGTGTTGACAATGGTCTAATCGTAAATCGCTATGAGTGCGTTCTCCTGTGGGGCCAGGGATTATAGTATGAAACTGGCGTCGGGTTACGGTGGGGTGAAATAGGGTTTAACGTTGCCTTCAAGATTATTGCACTTATCTAGCAACATGCATGCACGTGTGTGTGTGTGTGTGTGTGTGTGTGTGTGAGCGTGCGTGCGTGCGTGCGTGCGTGCGTGCGTGCGTGCGTGTGTGTGTGTGTGTGTGTGTGTGCGGTTGCTTGTACTAGTCCGAACTAATGCCGATTTTACAGTGCTAGCCTTCTGAGATTCCATGCCGCAGTTTAACATGGAGACACGGTTTACTGACTACGAGTCAACCCAGACTTACAGTTAAAGGCGACCATGCTTGTCGTAAGAGGCGACTAACGGGTTCATGCATGTCGCCGATCCCAGTTGCGTGCATCGATGCTCATGATATCAATCACTGGATTGTCTGGTCCAGACTCGATTATTTACATACCGCCGACAGAAAGCGTGGATATTGCTGTGTGCGGCGTTAAACAACACACAAACAAACAAATTAACAAACAAAACTTGAACAAGTACTTCGTCGTGACTAACCAACATTATATCCACAAGGTTGGGTACCGCCCCTCGCTGTATTAAGCAGTGTCGCACCTACAGCAGCAAGTCGCAAAGCATGATCTCGTAAATCAACTGATGGCCAAACAGAAGGATCAACATATATGTATATTGTTATATATATGTATAGGTTGAAATTAGCTAACCAGGCTTCAGATGAAATGGCTATGGGCAATTCTTCAGGTTTACATTTCATATGAACTAAATAAGGCCTCGAGTACGCTGTATCTGATGTCGATAACCCACCACGTCGCCAGTGAGGGTACGAGGTCGGGGCAGGGCCCTAGAACCTGATGTTGTACGGGACCTGATGTTGTACGGGACCTGATGTTGTACGGGACCTGATGTTGTACGGGACCTCGTGTTGTACGGGACCTGATGTTGTACGGGACCTGATGTTGTACGGGACCTGATGTTGTACGGGACCTCATGTAGTACGGGACCTGATGTTGTACGGGACCTGATGTTGTACGGGACCTGATGTTGTACGGGACCTGATGTTGTACGGGACCTCATGTTGCACGGGACCTCATGTTGTACGGGACCTCATGTTGCACGGGACCTCATGTTGTACGGGACCTGATGTTGTACGGGACCTGATGTTGTACGGGACCTGATGTTGCACGGGACCTCATGTTGTACGGGACCTCATGTTGTACGGGACCTCATGTTGCACGGAACCTCATGTTGTACGGGACCTCATTTTGTACGGGACCTCATGTTGTTCGGGACCTCATGTTGTACGGGACCTCATGTTGTACGGGACCTCATGTTGTACGGGACAACTACGGGGCTCAGTGGTGAGACTTGGCAGAATGTGTGTCTCCTGCGTGGCTGGGGTCGGTGCTCATGCTGTCAATCACTGGCTTAACTTGTCAGGACTTATTGGACAACGTGGACAGGTTCTCTTTGTATACATAGCCTAAATGTTTGTAACTCTGATAGTTTACCAATGAAACTATCATGGCATATAGAAGGTGACAAATTTATAAACGCTTTGATAATTTTGGAAAATATTATCCTTCACAAGCTAATGAACATTTGGAAACTATGTATTCGAGCGATGGATTGACACAAATGATTGGAATATGGCCTCTAGTGTTTTCAGCCTCACACAACACGAGGAGAGAGAGAGTTGTATATAGGTCACGCTGACCTGGTGTATGCTTGTACCAGACATATTCAGATCCGGGTAGTATTCAAGTTGGGTTTTAAATCAAGAAGGACAGAGTTATAAACCTATATTATGCAAGCCACGCCTGTGTAAATACAGATCTTGACAATCATATACCTACATCAAAACACCAGTCGTCATCTTTGTGGCTTTAAGTGTAGATGTGTGAATCTTGCATGTATCATCATGTCAAATCATGAAATGTGAAATAGCTCGATCGGGGCTAATGTAAGTGAAATGCTGCCCTTAGCAAGTGTAACTAAGCCATCATGAACAGTGTATCACAGACAGTACGCAGGACGTGATTATCTTCCCGTGTCGTCATCCAATAGTAGCAGTATGCTCGACAGGGGCTGGTGAGTATTGTACTGTGCCCATGCTAAGGACATACCCATTATAAATAGGTGGACCGAGCATGGCAATGGACTGGGAAAGTCAAGACAACCGAGCGACAATACGTGGCGAATCTTACCTCGACGACAGTTGCGGGTCTTCACACCCCTGTAACACGATCTATCTCTACGCTTGATGCGGGCTGGATGGAATTACGGTGTGGCCCCTGTCATGAATGAGGTACACGTACACGTCAATCTCAGCACGTGCATTCGCAACAAACACTCACTTTCTCCCGATTCTATCTTTGACAAAATACCCGGATGTCACTCACAACACGCGATCGTGAGCAGTGAGCCGCGACGGTCACGTTGACCTTTTTTGTAATGTGAATAATGCTAATAATCTAAAAGTGTGGAGTTTGAGTAACATGGAAACTTACCGCATGACAACAAAGACACCGTAATAGCATAGCACTTGGTGACTTGATTCAGACAACGCAACGCCACAACACTTGCTGACGAGATTCCAACACCGTAACGCCACAACACTTGCTGACTAGATTCAAACACCGTAACGCCACAACACTTGCTGACTAGATTCAGACACCGTGACGCCACAACACTTGCTGACTAGATTCAGACACGGTAACGCCACAACACTTGCTGACTAGATTCAGACACGGTAACGCCACAACACTAGCTGACAAGGTTCAGACACCGTAACGCCACAACGCTTGCTAACTAGATTCAGACACCGTGACGCCACAACACTTGTTGACTAGATTCAGACACGGTAACGCCACAGCACTTGCTGACAAGGTTCAGACACCGTAACGCCACAACGCTTGCTGACTAGGTTCATACACCGTAAGGCCACAACACTTGCTGACTAAATTCAGACACCGTAACGCCACAACACTTGCTGACTAGATTCAGACACCGTAACGCCACAACACTTGCTGACTAAATTCAGACACCGTAACGCCACAACACTTGCTGACTAGATTCAGACACCGTAACGCCACAACACTTGCTGACTAGGTTCATGTTGATATAGTTGTAACTAACGTGCTGTCGCGATGATGTAGTTGACAGGACCAACACAGAGGAAAGGTTTTCATGAACTGTAGGTTATTGATTTGAATGCAATTGTATAAGTGCAATGTTGAAATACCTCTGAAATCTAGAGCTTTACGTTACACTGTTACAGGTCGCGTTTTAACCCCCTGGACCGTGCACAAGGGAAAATTCAAATAAATCCAAAATATACTATTTTGTATATTTGGTATTTCCAAAAATGTACAAGTTTGTGTATTTGCTATATCCAAAAATATACAATTTTGTATAGATGGTATTTCCAAAAATGTACAAGATTGTATTTTTGCTATATCCAAAATTATATAATTTTGTATATATGATATTTCCAAAAATATACAGTTTTGTATATTTGCTTTATCCAAAGCATATCCAAGGTTTGTATATATGGATACATTTAACCACTGCTGCATTCAGCTTTACTTTAGTAAGGAATTCTTTTGGTTGATATTGAAAATACCACCAATGATTATGTACGGGACAGTATTCTTGTGTATGTGACAATAGTATTTGGTACTATTTTCATTATGACAAATATGTTTGGAGAGTTATTAAACAATTTGTTTTAATTTTTGTTGACAGCCTTTTACATGATGAAATAGAACATTTGAGCAGACTTTTATATACCTTTTCACGATCAGCCTGTTTCATAAGTGACCCTGGGCCTCGTCGGCAGATGCCTGCTTCCCTAACATCTTCATTAGTACGGAATAACAAGAGAATAACCTTTTCAGAGTTACGTCACGATGATTGCAAAAATAAAAATTAATTTAAAATCCAAGAATTTAAAATTATACAAGGAAACATATATTGGAGACACTGTTTGATTAAGTTCCTATTTTATTATATGTGATGTTCTATTCCAACTTCAAGAAGGTTGTTTAATAGTTGCGTACTTTCCACGATGGCATTTCACGGCAATTACATATTAGTTCTTGAATTGTCAAAGTGAAATTTAATATATATATATATTGTTTTTGTCAAATACAATGTAACAATAATTATGGGGCCTAGCATGTCGAGCCAACAAACTATTGTATATATTATTCACCTTTTCATATTATTCTGTTCATTTATGAGTTTACTGTGTTTGCGGCGGGGTCAAGACAATTACCAAAATGGACAATTCCAAATACTACTGCGTATAATAGTAATGCCGATTTAGAACCATACTCACTCAGTTAAATACCTCCTTTCACGGACATCGTTAGACGTGGTGTACAAGTGTTCAGACTGCCCGTATGTCATTATTGCTCCCACATTTGGAATAACTGTACCAAGAACCAGAATCAATCCTAGAAAGTTTACACTTAGATTCATTACGGACAATGTGTGGGACTACAAGGGGAACAAGCCATGATAAACTTTATAGAGAAACTAACTTAGCCAAAAGAATATTAAACACTATTTTACGAGACGGAAAATCAGTTAACACCTGTTTATCATTCTGGCCTTATTCTACAAGAAGCCTCTGCTGTTAGTGATTACATCTTAAGAAATCGAACCAATGTTTTTGTTTGTTTGTTTGTTTAACGCCCCACTTTAGCAATATTCCAGCTATATGACGGCGGTCTATAAATAATCGAGTCTGGACCAGACAATCCAGTGATTGACATCATGAGCATCGATCCACGCAATTGGGATACGATGGCATGTATCAACCAAGCCAGCGAGCCTGACCACCCGATACCGTTAGTCGCCTTTTACGACATGCATAGTCGCCTTTTGCGGCAAGCATGGGTGCTGAAGACCTATTCTACACACACACACACACACACACACACACACACACACACACACAGAGCAGATTCTGTGACATCCCTGACAACGCATCATTCTCTTGTGGCTATCCCATTGAACACACACTGCATCTATTTTAAAGGTAAGAGTTTAAATTCAGTGCTTTATAGGAATGGAAATGAAACAAAGTCTGTCAATTTAGCTATTTTGAATTCACTCCATATGTACATTCTACGTTCTGGTAGATTTGCACTGATATAATAACTTAAGAATTAATTCTCACTTTAAGACAAGTATCAGGTATTAAATAGTTAATGACTAACTTTTCTTAATAATTGAACCAGTCGTGTTTGTTCTGTTTTAATGTGTATATGTATTATGCATGAAAATATATCAACCAAAACGTATCAATATGACCTGAAAAATATAATTTTGTTTCTGGAGCGGTTTTACCCATCCAGATTCATTTACTGAATAAAAATATGTTTAAATCATGAACAATTCCCAACTCACAGTAGGACATCTCCCCACACCCCACTTTTTGTTTTGTTTTTGTAAGAAATAATGAGAGGAAGTGTGGTTGGGGACTTTTGGGATATTAGAAATGACTATAGACTGCCATGTTGTCTGACTGTAGAACTTAGCAATCACCAGGTGTGACCATGCTGACAGGATATCATTCGAGTTTCTGATTTTGACAATTACTCAATGAACATACTGAGCATTGGGGATATCGAATGTACGAGTTTGTTATCAGTGCATATATACAAGAAATAGTTGATTCTAAAATTATTTATGATCACATATTTATGTGTGTACTTCTTTTTGTAATTTCAAAAAGCGCAATCATATGTATGATTTTTTTCAGTCAGTTTTCGATTAATGCGAATTACATTACATGGATTATATAAAGTTGTAACAGACCAATAGGCTGACTAGGGTGTATTACATGTCATAACATTGAACTCTTGCCGGGACATTAGGGAACTTTTGTAGTGGCTATACATTCTCTAACTAACACCCGTCACAAAGGAACGGGCCATTTAAGTTTGTAATCACGAAACAACAACAAACAATTTACAGTCTTTTGACATAAATGAACGTGTAAACAGACAAGTAGAGATTGCTGCAGTGCATCAATTGTTCCCCACCATATAATGTCATATACAGAGGAAGGAAGAAGAAAGAAACGCAAATCCAGATTTGTGTGAGGTAGGAAAATACATTTATACGAGGAACCGTACAAGGTATTGAGCCAAGATGTTGTGGAGAGAACACTTGGTGATTGTAGTCATCTCAGTTATCGGTGCATAGGAAACGTCCAAGGTGAAGGCCAGCTACCACCAATGTCCCAAGTTAGAATCGATAGCGGCCTGACATCTCCTGCCCATGGAAGAGAGGAGTATGCGAATCATATCCTGGGGAATGTTAGCCTACTCAGCCGGCAACGCAAAAACCAACTGCTGCAACGTCTGGGGCTGTGGTTGACGTCGGCGTAGCCGTCTATCCAAATCATCCCACAGGTGCTCTATCGGGTTCAAATCCGGGGATCTGGAGGGCCAGGGGAGAAAATCAACGTTGTTGCTGGGTAGACAGGCTCTTGCAGTTGGGAGGACGTCCGGTAGGAGAATTTCGTTGATGTATCGTTGATCCGTAAGATTGCCCTGGATATGGACCTAACCTGTCCTGCCATGATGAGAGATAGGCGATCACATCATAACGCTACCCCCACCAAACACGTCCACTTCCTGTACGCAGTTTCCGGATAAGCCTTCTCCCCGACGTCTTCCATCCCCGACGTCTTCCATCCCCGTGCCCTTCCATCCCCTCGACTGAGGAGAAATCTTGATTCGTCGCTGAACCAGACATCTCTCCATTGCAGTTGCGACCATACCCTGTGTTGACGACACCAATGCAGTCGTTATTGACGATGTTGTCGACTCAATATGACGCGTCGAACAGGACGTCTTGCTCGTAGACCCGGTGCTCTTAAACGGTTTCGTACGATCGCAGATTCTGCGCAGTCCGGATATTTGGGATGTGGTAGAGGTGGCTATGGTCGTCCATTCACGTAGGTGTCGCAATCGGATGTAACGTTCTTTGGCGGAGGTGGTTACTCTTGGTCGTTCCGACCGTGGCCGTTTACATGTTTACCCATGCTGTTGAAACCGACCCCATAGCCTTGTGATGGTGCTGGGTGCTACATTGAAAACCTTGGCGACAGTTGATATGGATTCCCCTGCCTGCAAGCGGCCTATGACGTTGTTCTTTGCACTTATGTAATTCTTGGCATGTTGTTGAACTGTCACTATTCGATTGACGCAGATGCCAGCAATGAAAAACCCTGCACTTTAATACCGTTCATAGTGCTGCTGCACGTGAAGTACGTGCAGCTTCATGGCCCTTTTGTTAATGCACTGTGTGCGTTTTTCCCGAATCGTACGTGTTTCCCGACTAATGGTTTGCATGTCCTTGTTGTGATCATTTTGATCAA